TTCATTTTTTTGGTTGATTTTTCTTTGTTAAATGGCATTTAAATATATAAAATAAATATCAAAAATATAAATCTTTGTTTTACTATGGTTGCAAATATAAAAAAATTTCTATATGGGACATGGCACCAGAGTTAAGTTAGGGTTTTTCAAAATGCTGACATGCCGAGCTCTAAAGGTTCGCCATCACTGACCTAGATTCTGGCTTAGGTGACTGGCTGCTGGTTGGTGCAGCCACTGAGAGAAGGAATAAGGAAGCCTAGATCTGGGTGAGAATAGGGATGGAGACTGGGCATGTAGAGAAAAGATGTCAGTAACTTTATTGTTTGTGTCCCTAACTATTCTCTCTCTCACACATCTAAGTCATTCTGCAGCCCATTCCTATCAAATATCTAGATCAGGGGTCCTCAAACTACAGCCCGCGGGCCACATGCGGCCCGCTGAAAACATTTATCCGGCCCAGCGGGTGTTTTTGCTGCCGCTGTGTGCATAGGAATTTGTTCATAGTTTTTTTTAAACTATAGTCCGGCCCTCCAACGGTCTGAGGGACAGTGAACTGGCCCCGTTTAAAAAGTTTGAGGACCCCTGATCTAGATTCATATATGCCACTTTCCTGTATTAGAACACAGTAGCTTCAACTAATTACTGCAGGGGGTTCGTTCATTTAGTACAGTGATGGCGAACCTATGACACGCGTGTCAGAGGTGACACGCGAACTCATTTTTTTGGTTGATTTTTCTTTGTTAAATGGCATTTAAATATATAAAATAAATATCAAAAATATAAGTCTTTGTTTTACTATGGTTGCAAATATCAAAAAATCTCTGTATGTGACACGGCACCAGAGTTAAGTTAGGGTTTTTCAAAATGCTGACACGCCGAGCTCAAAAGGTTCGCCATCACTGATTTAGTAACTATTTCATTAGAAATAATTATAATGTACTGATGGCTTGCAAGGTACTGTGAGCTAGGAAAGATAAATGCATGAAACATAACTTCAGAGCTTACATTCTACCAGAAGCCAAAAGACATTAACCAACCAAATATAAATCATGCAGTTTAAGTCATCAATAACAAGGGGGAGGGTATGTTCCACTGAAGTTCATAAATAGGTTTTAGCAAATCTGCGAACTCCCTGAAATCATATGTAATATTTTGTCTATACCTGTATACATTTGGTGGGGAGTGGGAGAGGGAGGGTAGCCTAGCTTACATGCTCAAAGAGGTCTGTGACCTCTAAAAGGTTAAGAACTAGTCTACCCTTCAAGTCCATTTGGGCTCTACTAACACACAAACTTCTTCCCTGTGAGAAGGCAGTGATCAATGGGAAGGCTAGAAGCTGTCTAATCCACCCAGAATGACCCTACTTTCACTGCTACATACATCAAAAGTGACCCATCTATTTTAAAATATATATATATTTTTAGGGAGAGGGACAGAGCGATAGAAACATCAATGAGAGAGAATAATTGCACACCCCACACTGGGGATTGAGCCTGCAACCCAGGCATGTGCCTTGAGGGGGAATCGACTGTGACCGCCTGGTTCATAGGTCCACGCTCAACCACTGAGCCACGCCCCGGGGCAAAAGTGATCCATCTTCTGACTTCACGTCAGAAAAGTCAACAGGGTTATTTTTAAAAACCTATTTTTAAAAATAAAGATGGCAAGATGTTCTATTCCTTGATCGCTAGGGATTTGCGAGCACGTGCCCTTTTGGGGAGTAGCAGGACGCCACCCGCAGACACCTTCCGGTCCCCACGGAATTGGCTGCACCCAGCTCCGCCTTTTGGATTCGGTAGAGAGAAGTCAGCGGATGTTCTGCGAATCCAGGCCGGGTTTTCCGGCACTAAGACGGAACTAACCTCGAGCCGGAAGTCCCAGGACCTTTGCAGAGAAAGCAAGGAGGGTTGGGGGGGGGAGAAGACTCAGGATAGGAATGGCGGCTCAAATTCCAATTGTGGCCACCACGGCCGCTCCGGGGATATCCCGGAACAGCAAGAAGAGGCCAGCCAGTCCTTCCCACAACGGCAGCAGCGGCGGCGGCGGATATGGCCCGGGTAAGAAGAAAAAAGTGTCCGCCTCCGGCTTTGCACAGGTACGTTGCACGCCGACTAGCCTGCGCATGCGCGGTGGCCGAGCGGAGCGGGGCGGGGCGAAGGGAGAGCGCTTGCGCGGGGCCGTGTGAGACGCAGTGAGGGCGCTTTAGCCGGGCAGAGCGAGTCAGGGCGCATGCGCCGGTTCTGGTGGCGTCAGCTCTTTGGCAGGGTTGTTCCCTGGTGCAGATGAAACACTTTCTTCCCTTAGTTTGGACATGTGGGAATTGGGTAAACCTTCGTCCATTGACAGACATTTACCGAGTGTCTGTGAGGGGCAGAGCGCCCCTACTAGTAAGTCCTACATGGAGGAATACCAGGATGTATTGATACGGCGGTGGGGGGGGGGGGGGTCCCTCATCCTCGGAAAAGAGCTTTTTGGTCCCCAGCTTCCCGTCCCAAAGTGTGTTTGGTTTTACCGCACGGGGTTGTCAGAGGATTTAGTGAGATCCTGGTCGGAAAGCCCAGAGCACAGCGCCGGATACAGACTTCCCCGCAGCACGATGACCCAGGCTCCAGAATCCCAGCAGAGAACTCGCGGATGAGTGGCTTGCGTGGAAGAGTGTGTGTCCTGGCTTCTGCATTTTACTTAAAGCAACAAGAGAGCAGCGAAGGAGTGTGTTACTGTGCCCTCTCCAGCACGTGGTGTGGCATCCTGCACCCGGAAGGATGCTCTAGAGATGTTAACTGCCTCTCATTTCTTCCATTGATAGTTAATAGTGCTCCCCTTTAAACAATACTTTATTAAGGTATGATTTTTCATACAGTAAAGTGCACAAATCTTAAGAGGTACAGATGAGTGACTTTTTGCATATGTGGCCACGACCCAGATGAAGATCGAGAATATTATTAAGAGCCCGGGAAAATTCCCTGGTGACCCTTTCAAGGCATTACTACTGTCTTCCCTGCCTGCCAGAGGTAACCACTATTCTGACCTCTCTCACCATAGATTGACTTGCGTTTTTGAACAGAATATAAATGGAATTATACAGAACATACCCTTTTGTGTCTGGGTTTCTCTGTGAAACAGTGTTTTTGAGTTATGTTATTTTACCTGTATCCGTATACCTGGTACATTGTGTAAACGTATCACAACTGATAGACATTGAGTTATTTACCGTTTTTAAGCTCCTTTGAACATTCCTATACAAGTAGATAAAGGCTTTCATTTCTCTTGGGTAAATGGGTAGAAGTGTAATCACCGGGTCATAAGGTAGACATACATTTAACTCAGTTAGAAATTGTTAAACAGTATTTCCCTAAGTGGTTTCACTATTGTGCATTCTCAGCAGCAAAGTATGACTGTTCCAGTTGCTCTGCATCCTCCACCTTCCTTTTAGCCATTCT